GGCTTGATAATAGCCAGATTATTGAAATTGACGGCTCTTTCTTCTGTGTAACGGCTGGAGGAAACACGCGTAGTTACTCTCACGAGTCCAGTTAAAGTGTTTTTCATGTGGTCTCATTTGTGTCCAAAGCACTTGACCTTACGTTGCCTTCTATAAGGTTCATATCGAAGTTTTGAAGTCGTGTTAGATGTAAGTACTCTGGATTTTTTTTTGTCACCTAGTGTGTTATTACTTTCTCCAAATTGACGGTCTTGATCATAACAGCAGTATCTCGTCCTTCGTCGACAGTCAGTAGAACATTGTCGTAGTTGCCTAAAGTCGTGTCATTACTTCTCAACTGTATATGTTCGTCTTTAGTCAAGTATCGTACATTGGATTCAATGTTACTTCTAATGTCATCTTAGGTCAGTTCAGACAAGTCTCTTTGGCGAGACAAAACTACCTGAATTAAAGATAACACAGTATAGCCTTGATCAGTGAATGTTTCTACGTCACTTAGTGTTTCAGTCCAAGGGTGTGACTGTACTCTGGCTCCCATGATTTCCATGGGCGAGGAAGAAATGTCCCTAGCTCAGTTGTCATTGTTTCTGTTTGTCGCGTTTTAATCGTGTAATTTTTTCCCATGATTGCTGTAGTCACTATCAATCGTTTTGTCGGCTCGTTTGTAGGCCATAGCCTTCACGGTGTTAAGAACACAAGTCAGTTGGTATCAGTAGTATAAGTTTGTCAAGCTGATATGGTAAGTGAGTACAGTGAAGTAATTTTTCACCCAAATTGACTCATCTTTTGCGAGTGGATTTGTATTCTAACATAAATTTCCGTTTACGAACCGAAGAACCTTCGCAAATAGTCATTTCTTTATGTTCGACCAAAATCATGTTTTGGTTGGAAACTTATGTCGAGAATTGGGCCACCTTAAAAATTTTAGATATTGATACACCACCACAAACAGTTTTCGATACAAGATTCAAAGCTAAACCTAGAGCGGCACTCTGGGCTTTCGAAAATGGATTTCATGATAACTTTGTTCGTATCAAATCCATCGAGTCGAAATAATTTTTAGTTAAATATGCGAAAGAATTCGCACTCCTTTCATTGGTTACAAGTCTTAAAGAAAAGCACTGATTGTCGAGTGTACTTGCTGGCCGAAGAGCAAGTTTTTCTAACCTTATTTTAAGAGGCTTTGATGGAAAACCGCTCTAAAAATTATAGCTTCTGAATCTTTAAGAAGGGGGCCATTGTATTTGAACGACTTAAAGAAATTTAAGCCAGGAATTTTTTAGTTTTTTTGCGTTTAGTCAAAACTTGGAATAAAATTTATTAGTATTACAGATCGAAATTGTTCAGTTGTTCAAATACAAAGGCCCAATTTTAAAGTAAAAAACTGAATTTGAATTCTTATCTTTGTCGTCTCCAATTCTACGAGTCCTTGGAATGTTCTTGAATCCTTGCTTGTGAGTTCCCCCTTCGTGTACTGCGCTTTTCAGGAGTAAACCGACTTCTTTCTTGCGCTGATATTCCTGAAATACAAAAAAGATAAAAGGAGATAAGAAATCTGTTGAAGATTTTTCTTAGTAAAAAAGCTAAGAATTTCTATTTTTAGATTTAACTCTTTCACTTCCAGAAACTACTATGCAGGAGACAAAGTCTCCTTACTGTTAAAATGCATCTCTTGGGAGACAAGTAATGAAAATCAAGGGAGTCACAAGTTGCAAACAAATGAGTGGTCAGTTGTTGGTGAAATATTTGGGTTATCAGGCGAGGTTCTACCATCAGTGCGGGTAATGGATGTAGTTGACGGTTAATTTCCAAAAGCCTTCGGAATATCATGTGTTGCAGAGGATGGTTTGAAATGTCTTAAATAAGCACGGAACTCTTTCACTACAGTGTCGGCTAACTAGGTTGCACGTGCTGAATGTTCGAACTTAAATTCCAACGATGAATTAAAATGCAACACAAATTTTTCCAAAATTCCTTACAAACATTCCCGGCTGACGTTAGTTTGGAGGAGACTTTATTTTTCCCCACTGTTCTCGAAAAGACGAAAAAAAAAATTGCATGATAACGAGAAGGTGGACGGTTCGACCGAAGGTACATCAACTCATACGCAGGCGACAAAAATCTCGGATTCATTTACAGAGACCAAATACGTAGTCTAATGATGAGTAGAAAATATACTCACCTTCTTCAAGAAGGAATTCTGACGAGAAGCGACTGATGAACCCATGTCTTAACCCAACTTCTTTATTTCTGCAAGCTGTCGTGGATATAAATAAAAAAAATACTAAATAAACTTCAAATACTCGTAGAAACTTCCACCACATTAGTTTGGAAGTGACTCATGTCACTGTTTGCTTTCTCTGTTCTTCAACGTCGAATAGAGAACTCGGTAATGGGGCGGAATGTCTCTTTTAGGTTAATGGCGACCAGACTTGTGACACAGCACTTAAAATCTCCTTTTCAATCCGTAGAGCCGAAACATGAAGGTTAAGGATAAGTAGAAAGTACACTCACCTTCTTCAAGAAGAACTTTAACGAGAGGTGACGAATCTGCGTCTTCACAAAGCCACGGACTGCTGGATGTGGTGCAAATTCAACAAGGGTTCATGAATATTGATTAGAAATTGCAGCCAATCATGAGTTAAGGAGCATTTGCATTTTATGTTTGCATGTTTAGAATTCTTGGCTGCTCTTGTAGGACACAAATAGCAAAACAAGTTTATCGTTTGCCGTGTCTTTGTGTTCTTGTAGTCTTCATTTTTAGTCCTTCAGTTTCTTTTGTTGTAACAACATCAAGTCTGAGCAAAACTGTGACATTTTTATCTTTCGACTCTGCCATTCCGCAAAATGCAACAACTCAAATTTACTATTGTCATTTAATTTAGATCTCCTTGGTTACGAAGCTGGGTAAATGAAATAAAGAACATTTTGGGAATTGAAGACAGTAAACCTGGCAGAAGGAAATTGAATCGGTGATTTAGATATAACAAAAAAAACTGAAAATCGATAAAAACAAGTTTTTGAGATGTTAAACTGCAAGAACGCGAGGAGCATCCCACACACTGACAGGGTTTGACTTTCGATCAGATGCATTGCTCAGTGATGAATATAAAGATTGTAAAGTGTTAACTTCAGTTAATTGAATGAAAGATGACGCATCTTCTGCTAGCGAATGATACCAATAGAGGACGAACCTGTGATCTGTCCCTTGTTTTCGAGTGTTCCTGTGTTGTTTCTGCCCGTGCTCTGAGCAGTCTTCTGGATCGACAGCGCGCATCTGAACCACGACAAATTGTCAAATTTGAACCTACACTGATATCAGTGGCCTGTTAGCTACTGTAGACATTACAGAATAACAAATTGAAGTTAACCACCTAACTCTGATTATTGACTAATTCTTCATTTCTACCCCCAATAAGGTAGTTTGGAGAATAAGGCTTGACATCAAGGCAACACTATCTGGCTGACAAGGTTGTCTTTGATCATCATTTATGTGTCTGAAAATGGAATGCTATTGTAATGAGTAATTATATGTTTTTTCCTTATTTTTGAAGGGTCAGTTGCAGGGCTTTTTCCCATATTCGCTAAACTGTGGTTTATTTGTCTTTTCTAAGTTGGATGCCCTTCCTATTCTCTATTAACTGTTTCCTAGGAAACTCTAAGAAGTTACTATTTACTTGTTTATTTCACCACATATTGTTTGCATTCATTTTCACTCTCGGGTCTCCACAGTGAAGAAAACAATGTTTAACCTTTTAATCCTTGAAGTGATAAGCATCTAATTTCTCCTTATAGTCGTGAGGTCATGAGAATAAAGGAAATGATCATCAACTGGAGAAGCTTTTGAATATTAAACGAATTCTCTTTGTCAGTACTATAGGAAATCTATAGAAAAAAGTGTGGAGCATACGCATACTGATGTAAGGATATAAAAGGTTTCACAATGAAAGTCCAAGCCGGGGTAACCAGGGAAGGGAAGTGACCCAAAGTATTTGGTAGTAAATAGGCAAAGTGAAGTTGACTGCATGTAACAAGCTTGATATTATTCTTATAGTTTTGTTTCAAATTGTTATCACGTGTCAGTGAGGATGAATATAAAAGTACCGAAAACGAGTTAGATGTTTTATATCAAATATATCCCTTTGAACTTAAAATTACCGCAGCATGATTTATGACACATTAAAGGAGACGTGAGAATCCATTTTTACTCGTTTGCAGTTTCCATTAAAGTCATGCGTTATGTCTCTCACCCGGGATCGTTTGGGATCCTTTATCGTAAAAGATAGATACAGTTCCCGCCATTCCAAAAAATTGTTTTGTACTATCAGCTAATTTTACGGCCAATCAAAACACTGCGCTCAACTAGTGAAGAATACTAGGGAGGAAGGGGGGGGGGGGAGGGGGAGGGGGAAGGGGGCAGTGGGCGATATCAAAATGTATTTTTGGCTTATTCTCCTCAACGTCATGATTGTTGCTCAGGTTGCGTATTCTCCTTACCAGCCTTCCAGGGTTCATATCAATACTTTAGGAAGAAATCGTGCCGCATCTTTCATACTTTGTTTATCTTCAGGCTCGGGAGTTTCAACGTGAAGTCAGAAACAAAGGGTTGTATTATCGCTTGAGGGCCTTTACTGGAGACGATGTGTCGTCAATGAACTGGTACACAAAAGGAAAGACAAAAAAATGCTCCGAAATAATGTTATGTACATAGGATTGTGGAGAATGTAAATCGACTGGTTTTTTAATTAATGTTGAATTTTGATTGAACATGTTCTCAGATAAAAAAAAAAAAATCATATACGTAAAGGAGTTGGTTCCGAGAGAGAGTGTTTGAGAAAAACTTCACATTTGTACCTTTGAAAATAACAGTTTAAAATTGGTCCACCCTATTTTGCTGTTTTTCATCGAGAAGAGATCGAAGGATGCATTTTGGAGTACAATTTGACGCTCTCATAAAAATTTCAAAATATGTGATAATGTAGTAATCTTGATGTCTAGAATTGTGGCAAAATGACTTTATTTAAATATTTCACATCTACAAATAAAATTATATGTACAACTTTATCCAGATGCGGTTATTTTCATTAGTAATGTGATTACCCACTCGTCATATATACACGAGAGTTCTAATTCCTACCGTTGTCGTGCAAAAAGCTCTGGAAGCTCCAGAGCTATTTTGCGAGACAACCACAGTTGAACGCTTTTCGAATTAGACTACATTAGCAGGCAACGACATCATTGCAACTGAATCCAAAACACAAATACGCTGATAACGAAACTTAACTTTGTACAACGCTATACAATAATTATCAAACGTGCTTTCATCTTTTTAGTTTCATTTCGCTTGTGAAATGACCATAGAATCGCCTGTGAACATGACGAAGAAAACTAACGCATCAAATACACGCTGGACCGGACAAAGTGTCTGCACGTATGTTGTTATTCTACGGAGTTTTGTTCGATGATTTTGAGCTTTCGTTCGCATAAATTTGTTACCCCTGTGTTTGGAATTTTTTAAGAAGTTTCTTAGTTTTTATTTTAGCCAAATATCGTGGCTCATTCAACAAGTTTAGTACATGTTTTCTGAGGAGTTTGGATTCTAGCCTATTTTTTCGAAAATTGATTTTTTACAGAAATCGCGACCGTGTAATCTGCGCTTTTCCGCGCATGAGGCGTTAGGATGCATTTACCTTAAGTTCCTTACCTTAAAGGTTCCTTGCCAAGTTGATTTTGTTCCCATTGGTTTTAGTGATTTCTTTGGTTTAACGACACTCGCAAGTTAAATTTGGCACTAAATACCTTATGTGCACTCACGAAATGTGTCTGTTAGTTTGACTGCAGTTGACGTTAAACTCACCTGCCCTTTGTTAAAGTGATTAAACATAGTGAAAATCACAACCTCACAGCTTGCGTTTATATAGGAACAAAAGGGGCAAGTTTCTAAAGAAACTGTCACAGTGGTAATGCGTTGGTAGGGGTATTACAACATAATTTAGTTTTATCAACTGAGTTGATAATGAAAATCAGCCACCATAAAGAGGTTCTAAAACTGAAGTTCTAGCGTTAAATGTTCGTCAAAGCGAAAGACGAAGGGCGAAAAGAATTTAACTAATTACAGTCAAAAAATGTCCCACAGGCTTTAACTTTGTTCGCTCTCCGGTTCTTCCTCCTCGACCTCATTAATAACAGGAAACACGTGTTCTTCCTGAGCCGTTAAGCGACCTCTCTGTTCCAGTTCCTGCTCGATCTGCTGCAATCTTCTGTACTTACTGACATGCTCAGCGCGGACTGGACCGCCGAGTTTGATGAACCGCGCCCCAAAAGCCACTGCCTGAAAAATAAAACACGGCTGCTGTTATTAGAGAAAAAAAATTCCAGCTGCAAGGAAAGGCAAGATGCATTCCAAGAGCTCAACCATTAACCACGTATTTCCACCTTTCTGTCGAGAGCTCTAAAATTCGAGTTAAGTTTTCCACGTGCGAACGCGCAAATGGTGAAACGCGCGCGCTCGCACCGTTTGTCTGCGTCACGACTGCACAGTTACTTACGCGATACTGAAGAAAAAAACCAACGACTCTTGCGCAATAGAGGAAAGTACATCTGAACAATGAAGTATGTTACATTTGGAATTTCGTTTTCAAGGTTAGAGAGCTAACGTAGATTTCCATTTAATTCAGTCTTTCCTTAAGATTTTCCCTGACAAGAGAAAACTTTGAACATTTGAAACAGTCTTTTGATTCACGAGCGTAAAGATCCGTGTGTTTGGAAACGTGTTTTCGAGCTAAAAGTGTAAATCTTTATCTATTTAGCTATGAAGTGGGTAAAATTTTGTTGATTTTCCCGGGCTCCGGCTTTTCACGTCGGAATGAACCACAGTGACACAATTCAAGCTGTTTTACGGGTAACCCTCACCGTGACAAGTAAGGTCAAGTTGAGCTTATCAATAGACACTTAAACGCAAAACTGACCACAGAATTTAACTAAATATCCAAAGATGTTAAGGGCAATGTATTCCTCATAACTATAAATAAATCGACCAAAATTTTCCATTGCTTATCGACATCAAATGCAGTATCCTTGGCAAAAATCATATCAAATATTTCAGATGAAACCTTGCAGACTGTGGAGACACTTTAAGATGATGAATGAAATGTTCTCATGACATTCAACTTTGATTCAAGGGTGATATTGTAAGGGGAAAATAGGAACCAGTCACTCTTAGTGGCTAAGGGTTAAATTACAAAAGTCAAAATCTAAGGGATAAGGTTAAGGTATGTTTAACTTAGTTAGAACTCTTGGAAACTTAAATTGGCAGTCAAAACAAACGGTAAACCACTGTTAACACAAATCGATGATGAAATAAACAAAATAAAAAGAGCAAATCTTTGAGACGTTAGCTGCTAAACATGATTCTTAGAGAAAAGTCAGACAGACCTGCCTTGAACACTTGACTTTATGAGAGTAATGGTTAAAAATAACGGTTTCATAATTTCACCAGTCTCTACCAGCAATGTATAGAAAACATTATACATAAAACAAAGAAAGAAGAGGAAATAAGTTCAGCGACAAAACAACAAAAAATGATTCTGCAAAGGACTTTTGTTAGCTGTGTCTTGCTGATATATTCTACCTGTCACTTCTGCCAAGTTTGTGTTTCTTCCCAAACAGCAGGTGAGAGCGAATATTTAATTCCGTTATTTCACCGCAGTGAGTGGATAATCCTTCGCTTTTTGGTAATTCATACGAAAACATCCACCAATTGTCAGCAAACGCTTATAGCTTAAGAATGAAGGCTCGCGCAAAAGGATCAAAACTAGCGACCGTAGGATTTACACTAGCCTTGTCATCTCATGTTATAACTAGGAAACATTTGAAATGAATGAGTCGGACAACGGTGAACATTTTGACCGTCACATCTAATACCTTCGATTCTATACTACGCAAGGTTTGCTTGTTAGAGTTGCTAAGAACGGCTCTGAAACGTAAAAAGTTTCATCTTGCTTAATTTCTACTCCTTCAGCAAGGTAAAAAACCCATGAGAAATTTTGTTCCGCTGCTTAAACCTGTCTTCAGTTAAACGGTTGGTCAACAAAAGCAATCTAGCGGTTAGGAGTGTTCTAAGCTATCGGCCTCCTTCATCGACGATTCAACACCGAGAAAAACTTGCATTTCTGGACAGAAAAATACCGTTTCGTTATATATTTGAAACTCAACAAAAGGTGTGGGTGAAGTAGACGAATTAGCCGCGTTTTTTTTCTAACTCTCGCGGTCTCAGATTAAGCAGGTCGTATGACGGGTTTTTATGTGACGTCAAAGAAGATCGAGTCTGACCTACTTTTCCTACCCGTACAAAGTTCTTAGTAAATTTCAGACAACGCTTTTGCCATGGAGACCTCAATTTCATCTTCATGTCACAAAACTGTACAGCCAACTCAAAATTGAAATGAAACCAAGCTAAACTGATTGAATTGCGAAGATCCACTTTACACCGATAAACAAAAATATTGTCCACAAAATTGACTTTTATAGCTTCTTGAACAACTGCTACAGAGAAGCCTATCGAAACCTAGTAAACCAATTGCTGAATTAATACAGTGCTCTTTGAAAAAGAAATTCCGGAATGAGTGAAGGCCTTCGGGTGGAAATACACCGCAATGTTATGACGTTTGCCGAAGTCTTTCACTATGAACCCTTAACTCTAAAGATCTGATTTTTTTAATTCCCCCGTCTAGCTGCTACACATTTCTTTTCAAATTAGTAACGAGAATTACATAAAGATAACAACTTCTACCCGATAAGTTCGAGTATTCTCATTACCTGTTTGCTGAACGACGTATGGATATTATAGGGAGAAGTTATCACTTCTGGGGGTTGAGAGGTTACCACACATGCAGTTCTTTACCAAACACACCTACACTAGTACCTTCACAAACTAGAAATTAGCGCCCGGGCTTATTCGAGGATTTACTGTCTAAACTCCGAAATTCAGACTGAACAGTCTCAGGGGAAGCTTCCTAACTCTACCTTTTCCTTTGCATCTTCTCTCTAAGAGCTTTGTGGTGTAAGACCAAAATGGGCCGAGCAGTCAAGTGATAAAAGGATCACTGGAGGACATGAAGCTAAGCCCGGCAGCTGGCCCTGGATGACGAGCATTTTTGTTACGGGGCTGGGAGAGTATTTCAAATGTGGGGCCGCCCTTATATCGGACCGCTGGGTCATCACCGCAGCTCACTGCACCATTGCCAACATTGGACCAATACTAGCAGCAGCCAGTAAATATCCAGAGATGCTGAAGGTAATGTATTCCTCATAACTATTGATATATCGACCAGAATTTTCAATTGTCTATCGATGTCAGATGCGGTATCTCTAGCAAAAATCATCTCGAACATTTCAGACGAAACCTCGTACCCAGTGGAGACACTTAAAGATGATGAATATAATGTTCTCGTGATCTTCAAATTTGATTCAAGGGTGATACTGTAAGAAGATAGTAAGAGCCAGTCGCTCTAAGTGCTTGAGGGTTAAATTACACGTCAAAATCTAAAAACAAACCTTTAATTCAAGGTGCGCGTTGGTGAACATAATTTGGATCAGCCGGAAGGAACAGAGGAGGATCTAAACGTAAAGAAAGTTGTGCTGCATCCTAAATGGGACATAGGAGTGGAAAATACGCCCAACGGAAAGCAAATTTATTCAAAACACGACATCGCTTTAATAGAGCTTAGCAGTCCGGTCAACTTTACTTCAAATGTGAAAAGCATGTGTCTTGATAATGGGCAACTCTTTAAAGCTGGTAAGAAGAATGGGAACTTATCGTTTCTTGTCTGTCAGTTTTTACAATTTGCATGTTTAAGTAACTTTTTTCAGATGTTGTTAGTGACGCTGCAAACTTGATTTTCAACCAATTGGAAGGGAAAAATTTATGTCCTTGGAGTGGGGAACACGCTTGGTGCACAAGCTACAGACTAATCGAGTGGGGGCACGACGTTTTGGAAACAACCAAAAATCATTAAAAAAAGTAGTGAAACAAAGTACACCACGCTCCCATAAAACATTACAATAATCAGAGCATAACTTCAACTTTGATCTATTTACCTATCTAGTTTGTTTTGTTCTTAGGCACGATGTGTTATATCGCTGGCTGGGGCACTAAGAAAGTAAAAGGCCCTGCTACAAGAATTCTTCACGAAGCCGCTTTACCACTTGTGTCGCATGAACAGTGCAATGGCCCCAAGTCATACAGTGGAGTTATCGGTGGCAACTTGATCTGTGCTGGATACAAACAGGGGGGTGTCGATACTTGCGAGGGAGACAGTGGAGGTGAGATGGACTTTTTTAACACTAAAAAATACAGAATTCGAAGGAAAGTGAAACGAGCCCCCTACTTACAACTGAAAACATTTTTCCATGCATCAGTCATATGTATTCATGGGTTTTACAATATCCAGAAATAGAGGAAATGAGGTTGCATCGCCATCGAGCACTGAGAATCATAAACACCTAAATAATAACTTTGATGGACAATTTGAACCACCTCCAAACTACCTACATTGGACGACCTTGATATCTGCAAAACATAACTCCAAATCCCCTCCCTTTTCAGCGTTTTTCAGACCACGTAAATCTCGATCGTTAAGTCATGATTCCTTTCATGTGGAGTTACGGCTGTCACAGGCACGATCTTAAAGAAGCAACGGACGTCGACCACCTAAAACCTTTTTTATACCTGAGTAATTTGTCTTCAAGAATAACAAGAGTCCTTCCTTTTTCAGGACCACTAATGTGCCAAGGAGATGGAAAGAGGTGGTTCCTGACAGGTGTGGCGTCCTTTGGACACATTGGCTGCGGTGTACCTTACAAATATGGTGTGTACACACGGGTAGTGAACCATCTACAGTGGATATCACAAGTCACAGGGATGGACCTACCACAGCCACAAGTCGACTATGTACCGTTGATTACATAGAGATGATTGATGGCAGTGTAGTATTTGACGCTAGCACGTTTACCGGCAGTTGGGAAGGAAGGAAGAAAGAAAGGAAGGAGGAGGAAAGAGGGAGAGGAATTCACGCGACATGCCTGAAAACCATTACCTGCCTTTTGCAGCCATATTCATGAAGGGTCCTTTAAACAACCCTTGAGAAGAAAATCACAAACAGAAACTTGCCAAGAAGGCAAAAAACATGAAGTACATAGAGCACACCACCGCTTAAAAAAGGAAAATTTTACTCAATCTTCTCTTAATGGATGCATTTCCAATATCCTTTTAACCTCTACTATCTGATCCATACTGACCGGAGAATACTGACATCAACTCGTACGTAATTTTTTCATTGAATAGTACTACGATCAATATTTCTTGATCAACATTTATGAATCACAAAGCTACCAAGTTCTTCAAGTTTTACGTTAACCTGATGTTTGAATATTGCCCTTAAGTTTTCTAGCCCTATAAGAAAAATTAACTACTTGTTCTATCAAGCGTTCCCTGGAAAAATAATGAGTTAAAGTAGGCGAGTAGTAAGCCAAACCGAGCTAGTGATAATTCGAACAAAAAAAAGAAACTATTTTAAGCACATCAAAATAAACAGTTCTTTCCTCCTGTCTTTACCGAAAAAAAGGAATAGCTGAATAAATAAAAAACCAATACACTAACATCAATATGCATATTCTCCATACTGTTCTCTACACATTTCCTAAGGTGCTGACAAGGCACCGATAAGCAGTCAAAGCAAACACACATAAAACGACCTTCAGCCGTAGGAAAAGTGAACGACCAAGTCATGATTAGTTTTAGTTTATCTGTTGACTGATGACGAAATGTTGTACTTAGATGCTTTTGACATTTGTTCCTAAGACCAATCAAAATATAGCTTTTCATGCACCAAAGCATTACTTCCATCTCTCCATCCCCTCGTCGGGTCTTCTCCGTTACAGGTCAGCTATAAATAGTCGCTTTGCTTAGAAAACCATTACAGTATATTTACTTCTGGCGTAGACAATCACTGCCAATCAAAACTAGGTTACAACTTAAGTTTAGATAAGTAAAGGTAAATTTGATTCTATGTGAGTGAAAAAGTCAACAAAACTCACCAGATCCACCAGAATAGAAGAAGAATCTGCACATGGTCCATCTGCCATTGCAATGAGACCTCCCTGATCTAAAAAAAATCGTGGATAAGTAAATAAACTTGAACGAAAAAATTCAGTTTATAAGAAAAGTTGCGTGAATAACACTTCATAGCCAAAGTATTAAAAGGAATAAGAGAAAACTGGGCAAATTATTTTGTGAACGGTGCCGTCTGTCATGGACGGTCAGCATGGAACCATTAGGATGTTGCTTAACAGCGCCTCTGACCTACACCAAGGGCCCAGCAAAATCCCTGAATCATTTAAACTCACAAGGCTGCATTTTCTCTCAGTTTGTTCATTTAACCAACCTGTGACGGTCCTGGCCATTTGAGACAATCCTGTGATAGTGTTGGCTTGATCCAGGCTTAGAGCTACAACGCTACTGAGTTTGTCGGTGACTCCGCTATCCAAAACACTGGAATGTTTTCTGTACAATTCACTGCCAACAATGAAACACTTCTCTCCAATCCTCTGACTGAGTTTCTTCCAGCCCTCCCTGTCCTAAAGGTTTTGGTAAATTTTCAAGTAAGGAATCATGAGTTCACAACAAAACTGCTTCCAAACTGAAACGTCGGTTCGCTAAGATAAAAAAAACACGAAAAGCGCAAAAGAAAAGCGAGCAGGAACAAGGATAAGTGGATGAAGAAGTTAAACCCTTTACACTCTAACATCAGTATGCATATTCCCCATACTGTTCTCTATACATTTCCTGTGGTGCTTACAAGGAGAATTTGTTTAACAATCATGAGCTTCTTTCGTGATCATTTCGTTTATTCTCAAGTCCTTAATGCTTTAGGGGTGAAACTGTTGGGAGAAATTAGATGTTTATCGCTCATAGGGTTGAAGGCTTAAGACGGATTACTAAGGAACGACTTGAAAATTTAGGCTACCATTCTTTGGGAGATGCAAAAACACTGACATAACTCCTTAAAGCGAAGGTAAGTCTTAAACCCCAATTTACACGCATCACAACACTGACCGGACTCCTGACACCATCAATGATAGCTATGATTCCAAGGTATCTCTCGTGAAGTTCACAGTACAGGTTGATCACATCGTCCAGACTCTTGAAGGCGTTTGCCATTATCTCATACTTTAGTTTTTCCTGCGAAAAAGAATAGATTTTTCGATTCATGCCCATAGATTTCGCCGATAACAAATGAGTAGCGCTGATAGTGTGTCACTTACTCGCTCACGACCGCGGGCAAACAACCACACTTGTAGCAACTTAAAGAGTCACGAACTCACAAACGTCTATTTATGCTAAGGAGTCACACAACAGAGCAATAAAAAACTCTACATGCAGCACCCACCTCAACCACAGTTAACCATAAACGCATACATGCACGCATTTGTTTAAGATGAAACCAAAACTGCGTTTACAACCTGGTTCATGACTTATGAACTGAAATTTAGCAAATTCAACATACAAGTTAGAGACTACTTACAACTTATGGAAAGTTCAGTTTTTCAGTTCTCCTTCAGTTTTTTCATTCAGTTAAACCTAGTCTAACTACAATTGTGTTGTTGGTTTGAATGGGGTATTAAATTGCCTCCACTGATTCAATCGTATAATTGGAAACGCTTTGCAATAAAGAAAAACTCGTTTATTCAACAACTCTGTAAGCAGTGATACTGATAAAACTTCTATCGCTACTAACAAGTTTTGACTTCTTGTTTCCACGACGCTGCGGCTAGGATTAAACAAACGATCGACACTAAATAAGTTGAACCCACAACTCTACCAAAAATTTAAAACAAATGACAACGATTTCAGAAAAAATATAGTATACTGGAGGATGTTGAAACAACATAATCATGATATAAGAACTCAGTGTTCAAGAAACAATATACCACAGTACTCTTCCTTTTCCCCCTCAGTTCAAATTCTCACCTGGTCATAAATTTCTGAGGCTGCGCAATTGAGTGCAATGTGAACATCGGTACCCAGGCTATAGCCGCATGAAGACACTGCGTCTTGAACAAAATCTAAAGCCTGCTCTGGCTTATCCATTGAAGGGGAATAGCTACCATCATCAGTAACACACCGACCAGAAGGCTGGAGAAAGATATACAAGAATTCGAATTCAAAGGTGACAAAAAAACGGGCTGGGAGGAAATAAAAAACAAGCAAAACTTACTCCGTATTTTTGAACAAGAGTCTCGCCCATCTGCTGATGGATGTTGGTCAGCTGGTGCAAGGCCTGATAGATAGAATATAACGACAAGTTCTTAAATCCTCAACCTTAAAACTCTGTATTGCAATCCAACTAAGTGGGTTGATTTGATTTTATTCCACCTTGGTTAACTAAACAATTTGCCTATGTTCGCTCCCTTTAAAGCCATGACAATGTTTTGGTTAAAACTCACCCCGTTTCACAAAGTGTTTCGTTGAATCGTTTTCCAACCATGAAGTCTTTGAGCGGTGGTAAAACGCTTAGTAATTTAAACCAAAAACTAAACTATCAAAAGTGGTTAGTTTTAAGCACAGTACCGTTTTCATGGGCGTTCCTGGCTGAGGTAAAATGAGAACTTCTTTGATAAGATTTTGCTTTCCCGCAGCCTGCTTTCCACTCGTCAATAATGTCATCATTGGAATAGGTACAGTAAAGTTATCATCAGTCTGCAAAAATCAAAATTTGCTGCATCAAAAGCCGTGCTTTGTAAGAGTTAGTTACTGTATGGAGCATTTTAAATTGTGTCAAAAGTGATTCAGGATTGCATCAGAAATTCGCGCCATTCTCTTGGCTAGTCAAATGCACAACTTTATATCGCTCTCCTATATAACGCCCACGTTATGTAGGAGAGATGTCGAAAGCAATCCTTAAAGAGTGTGGCTTTCTAATTTAACAAGGATGCCCTTTTCGATCAGCAGTAAACCACTACCTTCTCACACTCAGAGTTCTCCCCTACTTTAAGCACGAAAGGTTATAGAAATTGGTAGAATAATCTTTCTACTAGCTGGATTTTCAAGAATTCTAAGCGATTTTAGGCGGTAATAAGAGGCACTACAGGAGGTTAATTGTACCGGTTACGGCCTGAAAAGGAGAACGCTGCACACTGTTCTTGTTAAAGGAACCAAGAACCAAACTTCATCTCCCTTCTTCAAAATATTTTTCCAAGGTTCCCCTTTACTTGTCTTGAAAACCAACTCGTTAGTGAAGTAACTGGTTTTTCCCGCCTTCTCACACCAAGTAAAGCACGAGAAGTTAAAGAATGCATATTTACCTCCTTTCCAACAAGTTTAGCAAGATGTTGGTACAAAGAGAGTCCTTTAATTTTTGCCCCGGTGACTGCCGTCCCCATTGAAACGCCAATTATAGCCGAGTCTCTGCAGATCTCCTCTTCCTCCAGATCAGGCACCACTTGAACTTGCGACTCTTTGATGCCAGCTGTTCCTCTTTTGCTGTCTCCTTTCTTGCTAGTATCCTGTGAAATTTGCGACTGTTTGCTCTCTCCTCTGGACATATTTGACTTCTTGTTTGAGTCCTCAGCTTTTTCAGGCTCCAGTTCTTCCTCAGTTTGATCTTTATCACAGTCATTGTTATTAATATGTAGTGAATGCCTTTCTTCTTCTAACATTTTCCTAAATTGAAAGCAGAGTACATTTCGATGTGTACGTGACTTGGTACAAACAAGAATTAGGTGAAGGGGGGGTGGGGTGAGGTGGGAAACTTTCATACTCAAAGTGACCCAGCTACTGGGGGACGGGGAAAAGGGGAGGGGATAATACTGATTTTCACAGAAGCAATACTTCTCAGACAAATTTTAATCCCCAATCACCTTTCAGCTTCAATTACCTATATAGCCTTGTCTGACAAGAAAAAAGGAAGCTTTCTACACCTCTTAATCAGTATTACAAACCTAGGAATGGTGTAAGGGGTAATCTGCTAATTTTAGATTACATGACAACACAGGGGAATCTCAGCCCTCAGAAACCATTGAAATACTGATGAAAACCATTTGGACAAGATGGAATTTTTTTCCATGACCCCTCTTTTTGGGTGTAAGTGGTGTATCAACTTTGCCTTTGAAACATCAAAAACAAGACAGGTTAGGCTAAAAAGGTTCTGTTTTACAAAGACCTTAAGGTAATCTATCCTAGATTTTATCACCAATCTAACTTTCATCCAAACACCATTTTGAATGATCTGTAGCTGATGGCCCTGCTGTGGGATCTAACAAATACCATAAATTAACTTAGTTTAAAATCATAAAGCCTTTTCTACTATGATATCATTAACAATACACTGCTGATTTATTTTTGCATCATACTACAGAAATTCAAAAAGAAATGTGATGAATTTGTTTTGTTTGGTCAATATGGAAACCAGAGTCTACCATAAGTCTAGAATTCTTTTCAGTAAGTACATGTACCAACTGCATATTGTGTCTTCACTGCTGGGCCAAAAAGTACTAACTTGGAGCCCACACTGAACATGAACAATTTTTTTCTTTTCATAATTCAACAAAATCATGTAAACTCCCTTACTGTAGCATCTCATCTATCTTCATTTGATCAGTTGGGTCCAGTCCCACAATACGTGGTGCAATAGTATCAGTGATTCTCTCAATTGACTCTGCCACATCTAGTCCTGGGGCTGGACTAATGGATTCCCCTTCAGTAGTCATAACAGCAGTCTCTGCCCCCTTTTGCTGTTTGGATTGCTCAGTGACAGGTGTCTTGGTTTTCATGTCTGGGGTTTTGACCATCTTGGAGCTCAAAGAGTCTGCTGGGGGACTGGAATCAATAAGGGATACAACACTTGCTATGGGCTGAAAAGACATATAAATTTAGTTTATACTAAAACAGAGGATGATGTTAAAGGAGCTCTCTAATTGGTTACTCAAACCCTGAATTCCTTCATTATTCACCTCTGAAAAACTCATGCAGGATCTGTGCCCCAAAATGTTGTAACCATAGTGGGAATAAATGAATGTCTCACTATTTGTGTATACACTAAAAAAATTATTCACCTTGGTGTAATGGTGGCTAGCAGTGTATCCATCACTAGCCACCTCCACTTCAGTAAACAATTTTTAAATATAACTCTCGTCAAAAATATAATAAGGAGGGAAGCAAATTAAACACAGATGACGTCAATCATTCAATACACCAACACTGTACCTTTGAGAGTCCATTGACGGTGCAGTCAAAGCTAACTTCAAAGGTTGGGAATCCTCGGGTACTGAGGATTTCTACCGCTGAGACCTGTCAGCAATATAATGGAACAAATCAAATCAGCTAAGCTAATCAGGATTAGTTTCTTTCTGTTAGGATGATTACAATTTGTAAGTACTTAATCGTTATATTAAAACAGTAATCATTATAACAAAAGTACTGATTAAAAAATCAGGATTAAAATCCCCATGCTTGTTTTGTGTTGTGCTTAAAATATTTCTTGATAAAACAATTTTTCAAATCAGTTTGATTTTGACACTTTCATTGTCTTGTATTCATTATCATCGTATGAAAGAATAAAGAGTAGCAGTGAAGTGTGCCCACAAATCATAAATAATAAAAGCATGTTCATGTGCAGTTTTAAAGTACATACATCTAAAAAGTTAGAGCAAGTATGTCATTTCAGAAAAAAATCTGAGTAAGCTAAACAAAATGAAAACCTTGGAAAGGAAGGCAAGGATGAAGTTCCAGACCCAAATCAAAAATTTTTTAAATAGGATGCACAAACACATAATGGAACTTCCAGTGGAAAGGAAAGTAGGTTTAAAATCAAAGCCATCAAAATAGGAAATCCTTTTCTTTATGGCCAACATAGCACAGGCTGCCAAAGAATCCTCTGCAAAAACTGCTACACTACCAACTGAAGGTTTAATATTTAAATTAAGACACTATACACAATAGAGAACACCAAAAACTCACTTTTAATTACATAACATAATTGTGAAAAGGTATAGGAACAAAATAATAATCACTGGTTCTACTACCATTGAGGTGTTAATATTAAAACACAAGCTATGTAAAATACCTCAGATATTGTTGGTGTTTTGGAACGTTTCCCAAAATATTCTCCCTGTAAACATCAAATGAAACTATCATTAATGACCTGATAGTCTATGACAGTGAATAAGACAGCATCTTAGTTACATGCCTGGAAATCAGAAAGTTACATAAACTGACTTTGACATATTCTCCTCATCAGTTTTATCCAAGTGTTTCATACCAGCTATCTCAATGTAACTCTAAACACAAGTTATAATAAACAATAATAAATAATCGTTCCTCCAAAATGCGCTCTCGATCCTCGAAAAGTTCTACTAGCGTCTAGATCCTCAATTCTCGATTCTCGATTCTCGATAGTTTCAAGCATCGAGGATCGAGTTTTGAGTCGAGACTGTCAACTTACTTTTGAGCGGTAAATTACATCATTAGTAGCTGAATAATCTTCTGATCTCCAATGCCCAATGAATATGTTACTTAGATGGAGATGTAACTGTCTCAATATTTGACTGATACGTAAAAATCACCAAGGTGACAAGTAAAAAGGTGTGCTGCATTGTAGATGAATCTCTAAAATAATTTGCCATAACGGGGTATGTGTGTTTTACATGCCACCGTGGGAACAAAAAGAAATGCAGTAAACTCACAGTTTCTGTTGTTTGAATCAAATCTGTAACATCAATGTATCAAAATGTGAAAGAATGAAAATATCCCAAAAACATTCCATGTTAACTGAGAGAGTGAGGGTCTCTCAATTTTTTTCGTCACTTTTATATGCGCTCATTAATCCCAAAACTAAACGTATGTACTCGTAGAATGAATTAGTAAACATCGTGCAAGATTGTGGTCTCCGTAAGCTGACGCGAAAAAAAAAAGCACAGGAAAGAATATACGTACCATGTATCCAAAAACATCATTGGGTTTTTCCTTGAACATCTTATTCAAAAGATCCTCAATCTGTTTTGGCACTTCATTCTTGTTAAAAAAAGCCACAGCTTCCCGTTTTTCCTCCAGACTGTATGCACCGTTTTTAACCGCCATGTTGAATCACCAAGGCAACTTGAACAGTTTACCCCAGTCTCGTTTTCATGCAAAACAAATGCTAGTGCCAGACTCCTCGTTTGCAGAAAGAATCTTTAATCGGTGAAATAAATATTGGAAACAAGCTGTTTGATTTATTTCACACAAAAGTTAGACTCTTATCCTTTGGTTACTATTCTCACATGCGACAATTTTTAACTTGGATTTAAAAATGTTAAGAAAGATTTCCAAATGCCTTTGCCGATCTATAACAGAGCATATAAAACATTGCAAAAATAACTAAAAAAAGCAATCGTGTTAATGATCTGTTTTGTAGTACCATTTTGGCTATTGTAATACCATCTTCTAGCTATCTTATCTCGGCAAGACACGATAGAAAATAACGGGATGCAAACTTGAGTAAATTCTGAGGAACAGCTTTCATACTGCTCTTGTATAACCAATCATGATAAGCACGTCTACAACGAGTAAAAGTTATATTAGTTCTGAGTGAGTGACATTGAAAAGTGATAGATATGCTTGACTGAGAAAGAAAAATTAGGCGTAGAGTATAGAAAACAAACGTGCAGCTGAGTTGTAACGTCTAGAAATTTCTGTCAAGAAAGTAGTGGAACGCTATGCGTTTCTGAAATTTAGCCGCACTAAGGAAAACTCTGTAAATCTAAATTTTTAAGAAATTATCAACCTGAGCCAAAACACACTAGTAACTATTTATGTCTTCGCTTCTTTTAAAAGAGATGTCTAACAAGTATATGAAGTCCTCGTGAGATCGTGCCTGACCATTTTTAGATCAAGATTTACAACTTGAAACATGAATTTGAATTAACAGAGCATTTAACTCATCTCATGGAAGCTGAGCCAAGCGTTTATAGACAACCACAAAAAATGATTAAAACGGCCGGATAGCAAACTGGTATCATCAAATATTTTTCTACACGCCATTAGTTTCGCATACACTAAATTATATTGGCTCATCACAAACAGTTAGCGTGTGTATACATACAGATTGCAAATTTCAGTTAGACATCCGCAATTGTGTGATGAAACAACTCGGTTTTGGCTCTGTTAGACTGATATGCCATATTAACGAAATCTTAAACAATGTTAGAGGGAAGAATATGTTGCAAGAGGATATAAAAATACAGACTGATAGAAAGGAGAGAGCCACCCAGTCTGTTTTCAACTCTCTCCATCTTAAAAAGATAATCGAGCAAACCAATCGAGTAACTAAGACAGAATTTCTCCTTAAAATATCAATACAACGTTAAGTAGACAAGTAATAAGAATGAAGAAAAGAAAAGCACGCACGTGCATGTATACGGAAAAAGATAGGATAACCCTAACTTTGCTTTGCTTCACTTCAAACGATTCACAGAAGTCCATGAAAATCTTAATTAATCTAAATACATCAAACTACTTCAATATAGCAGTCGCTGACTTGAAGTTATTGTTCATGCATAAAAATTTTGACTTTTTCGAGACTTCCTTAAGATCCCATCGCAATCAGTAATAATTTCAAAAAATATTTTCTCTTCCAACAAAAAGTAGAGATTTACTTTATTACTCTAGCGTGTTGAACCAATTGACCGAGTCTTACAACGCTGTCACTTTTTTAGTTTCTTGGCACTACAGTTCAGCTCCCCTGGCGAGAACGATTGGATTCCTAGAATCCATTAAAAATGATAGTTCTTCGGAATCAAAGTAAAATCGCCAGTTTTCTCAAATGGAATACTGCAAGCCTTTGTGTTAGTTATCTTTTCCCGTTCTAAGCAAAATTAGAATAAGACAAAAGAATTCCGAGAAACGTTATCACATCGATTAACACTCGTCAAGTGAGTTTCTAGAATGCTAAGACACTGTTTTTGTCAAGTGTTGGTTTTTTTTATCGATGACAGCATGCAGTAAACTTCTAGCTATGGAAATGTGCGGTTAATGTACTTTGCCTTGAACAATATGATAATAGAGCCAGGGGTGGTTACACAGTGTGAGGAGCTTGGTTAATGTATATTTTGTTTGTCCATAATTGCATGATTCCTCTGAAAATCTGGTAGAAGCTCTCTTCTATTTAAATGACTTCGAGGCGTTCCATATCGAGCAGTGTGCATTACGTGCCACATGACCTTGTTATAGCGTGGAGGAAAACGGCGTTTTCATTTTCTTATCAACACCATGCAGTTTTGTAAACTTAGGAGAATGGTAGTCAACTTTGAGAAGATCAAGGTTGCTCAAATGTATGCCATACCTCTTGATGGTGAGTATGTAAAAGTTAAAACACTTCTGGTGTTTTCCTCTAGATTGATAATGGTATTTAAAGATCTGAAGATATAAATTTATTCTAGTTCTATCTATAAAGAGCCGTACCGGTGGAAAAGTTTCCCCATCTTGACGGAAGTGTGTCGTAGGTCTAACCAATTCTACCCCGTGCATTTGCCAATGAAAGTCTTCTGGGAAATCAAAAAGCACTGGTTATAAAGTTGTAGTGGTTTTGGGAAATCAAGCTTGTTATAAAAACTAATATAAATTCAATTGTAAGTTAACCACAAAAGGTAATCAGCTTACATGTTCAGGTAAGACCAAGATTACATGAAATTTTAAATTCATCTTGGCTTGATCATCAGATATGACATAACTTTGAAGGCTAGCGCGATAGCTCTTGTATCATGGCGAACACCACAATTATGACTTCTACCTCAAAGTGCTGAATTTTGGTAAAGGTCAGTGATTGAGTGGTTGCTGAAGAGGTTGAATCAATTAGTGAATGGAGACTAGCTTTCAAACTGCTGACTAGTGAAAAAAGAAAAATTCTACATGATTGGATGATGATACTGTCTATTTACCTGACTGACGGACGAACAGAAGGTATAACTGACTAGCAGCCAACCACAATTGGTAACTTCTAAGTGTAAGATTGTAACACTTTGATATAAATTTCTTCATTCCTTTTCATTTGATTTCTATACGCGGCATATGTTGAATGCTAGCGCTACATATGGTGTCCTGGCAAACAATACGATTATCATGGCGGATTTCTATCTCTGATTGGTGAATACGAAACCAGATGGTGGACCACGTAATTGGATGAATGAGATAACTTGCCAAATGGATGGCTTTCAAACTGATAAAGAATGAAAAAGTTTCCAAACAATTAGATAATCTAAAGGCAAACTGTCTTATTCAGTGCCTGAATGACAGACGAACAGATGGTTGAGAGTTTCTTAAGCAGTTAACCACTGACATGAACCTACTGACTGGTATTCTATGTTTTTCTGCCTGGCTGACAGAAAGATTAACTGAAGAACACATGGATTGACTTATTTTCAAGCTAACCAATTAATTAACAGACAGGTTAATCAAAAACTAATCAACGACCCGGGTGATTAAAAAGCTAACTTTACTCTCTGAGTTTCTACTTTGTTACCTCAGTATTCTACCTACTGACTGACCAATTAACAACCTAGACAATAGGATTAAAAGCTATCTAACCATCTGAAACGTTTATTGTTTGAATGATTAAACCACTGAATGTCCATGGGATAACCTGACAGACCGGTCGACTGTTCAGCAGACTGACTGCCTGACAGACTGACTGAATGACAGACAGGCAGACAGACAGCAGAAGGACAGACAAACTGACTGACTGACTGACAGACTGAATGACTGACAGACAAACAGACAGACCGACTGAATGACAAACAGACAGACTGACTGATCGACCAACTGACTGGCTCGCTGACTGACACACTGACACACTGACACACTGACACACTGACACACTAACTCACTAACTCACTGGGTCACTGACCGACTGGCTGACCGACTGACTGACTGAATGACATACAGGCTGACTGACTGACCGAACGACTGGCTCACGCGTTGGCTGACTCAGTTACTATGTAACCTACTGAATAAATGACAAATTTAATGAACAACTTCCTGACTGAATGACTGACGGGCTAAATGAATGAAAGAATGAATTGAATAAATGAGTAAATGATTAAAAGAGTGAATGAAAGAAACAAGATAGATAGATACGTGGAAGGGAAAAAAGATGAATGGATAGATGAATGAAATAAAAAATTATTTTGATCTAAATAATCGATAACTTGGATTCACTTTAAGTTTGAACTTTACCTCTTGTTGACATAGGCTCATCATACTATTTCCTCTTTTGCAAAATATGAATCTACAACTACTTATAACCCTACTTGAACAGTTAGTACACGATGAACAAAAAGGTGAGTAAGTTAATGAATATTAAAAAAACGGAAAAAAACATTGGCAGCAGCTAACTAACGATTTGATTTAATTGAATCACTACTTGTGACTGACCATCAGACCTGCTTGGTCATAAGTAATCTAATCACCAAGTAAACTCACCAAACGACTGATTTTATCAACTCAAAAAGCATAGCACCGATCGAGTGAAACCTTAATTTCATTTTTTGTCATTTTGTCTTCGAATTAAATCGTAAATGAAACTAATTTAGAAAGAGATATAAATTCGTGTACGATATGGTAGATGTTGGTACTTTGTAAGTTAAATCCGTTGAGCTATCATGACGAGCTTTGCTCAAGAAAAGAATTCACACCAGGGATGCGTAAAATGATCCATAGGCTTGTCAAAGTAAAGCGAGAGGGCTCAATTAGCAAGTGAAAGCGAGGTGTTTGGCTTCGAGCGTGAAATTAATTGAAGTTAACAATTAAAATGTAAACAGGCGCGAGGATCCGCGCGGCTTGCGCGTTAGGAGTGCTACGTAAATTTAGGACTCTTTTGCACAATTTTCTCTTTGGAGATAACTACGCATTCATGGCGTGAATGGCAATTTTCATAATTGTAGAATGATTTAGCGACAAGAACGGCTTAGCTAAGCCGTAGTGTGTCATGGCATTTGAGAATAGCCTGGTTGTAGTGCGTGACATGACTATCAAGTAACAGTTATTGTACCCAGCATGTTTTGTTCGTGATCTACAGATTTATTGGTTTGTGACGCAAAGAGCGATTATCTGTTCTGTCACGACAATACCAAAATTAAATTGTGTTAGCCAACTTATATTTCACTCTGATCAGACCTTTGACCCTAAGTCAACATGGAAGCCGGTGAGCCGCTCGGTAAGGACCTTGTTTTCAAGAGAGATTTCGACTGCAGTATATTCTGGAGATACAAGAGTATCATTTAACACTTGAAACGATTGGGCAGATATTTTGATAATACTTTTCTGGCGTCCATACTGAGGAGCTCTTTCAGTATAAAATATCATTTTAGTAAGTCCCAATCATCAGGTAAGCGCGGGAACTTATCCCGCGAAAATTCTGTGCGAAGGTACGAGTATATTCGGCGGTATCTGCGAAAAGGGGCCATCGTTCTTTCCTTAAGGTAAGGTCTTAACTGTGTAAAACTTCGCGAGGAAGAAATTCTACTCGCTGGCCTGTCCAATTTGGGTTTTAGATAAGGTTGTATGCCTGATAATTTCTGTCTAGAGCTATATGATGACGCGCGATAAAGCTCGCTGCTTAATAACCTTTGAGCGGAAAATGATGATGCCCAAACCATTTAATCAGCAAAGCAAGGTTTACCTTTACTTCTGTGCTTTCGAAGCAAGAGAAGGAATTATTTCTGTGATAGTTAGGTGACAGATGCTTAAAATCACATGGTGTATTATCAAACTGTTGAAACCTAACATGAGCAAGATGAACTAATTATGGAATGAACCCTGACATCACAGCTCAAATACTCCTTCCCTATAAGATGACGCGCTCTTGGCAGGTTAGTGTGTTTTCTTACTAATCGTACTGTACTATTTCGCACTTTCGAAAGCAGAATCCTGAAGATACTCTCGTTCTTTTGTTATTTCTTACCCACTCTCTCGTGTAATCAGACTTATCTCCGTGAGGGAAGAACCTTCATTTTTTAATTTTTTTCCCGGTTTTGTCATTCGTATGTGAGCTGTTGTTATCTGAAGGCAGAATCTTTCCTTTTTTTCACCTGGTTCTGTCTCTCTTGGGTAGTCAGTCCTGTTTGGGCTGTTGTTATCTGAAGGCAGAACCTTTCCTTTTTTTTTTTCACCTGGTTCTGTCTCTCTTGGGTAGTCAGTCCTGTTTGGGCTGTTGTTATCTGAAGGCAGAACCTTTCCCTTTTTTTCACCTGGTTCTGTCTCTCTTGGGTAGTCAGTCCTATTTGGGCTGTTGTTATCTGAAGGCAGAACCTTTCCCTTTTTTTCACCTGGTTCTGTCTCTCTTGGGTAGTCAGTCCTGTTTGGGCTGTTGTTATCTGAAGGCAGAACCTTTCCCTTTTTTTCACCTGGTTCTGTCTCTCTTGGGTAGTCAGTCCTGTTTGGGCTGTTGTTATCTGAAGGCAGAACCTTTCCCTTTTTTTCACCTGGTTCTGTCTCTCTTGGGTAGTCAGTCCTGTTTGGGCTGTTGTTATCTGAAGGCAGAACCTTTCCTTTTTTTTTTCACCTGGTTCTGTCTCTCTTGGGTAGTCAGTCCTATTTGGGCTGTTGTTATCTGAAGGCAGAACCTTTCCCTTTTTTTCACCTGGTTCTGTCTCTCTTGGATAGTCAGTCCTATTTGGACTTTTGCTATCTGAATGCAAAATCTTTCCTTTTTTTTATTTGGTTCTGTTTCTCTTTGGGAGTTGTTTCATTTTAGACTGTGCGTTTTTATCTTATGACAAACTAATTTTGAATTGCGACATAATTAAATTTACTTGCCTTGATTTTTTTTCCTTTGCAGATTTAATTGAACGTTAACCGCGAAAAGCCGTGATGAAAAAGCAATGTTTGTTTTAATAGAAAAAGATAGTTTTCCTGTTTAGATGACCAACCAACCTTAACCTAATTACACATCATAAGTGCACGTTCCGTTGACTGGTAATTTTTACGTCGATGTTGTGTTTGCCTTGGTGGTGTCTGTCCTCAAATCCCGTGATTTTTCAATTAAAAATAAATAACGAATTTAGGAATAAAATTACCAACGAGTAAAATACCTCTTCTCGTAACGTATTAAATTGCATTTACATTTCCAACTCTTGCTTCAGACACGAGATGTAAAATCGGTCATAGATTGTAAAAGAGATTTGTGAGTAAAAAACTTTTTCTACTTGTCTTTGTTTATTTTCTCGCAGCCTTATACATGAGGTTCGCTGTGTTCGCAGTGGCGCGCCAGGAAACCCCAGCAGGAAAAATTTTTTTAAAGATTTTACTCCTTTAATGATCTCTTTAAAGTATATTACTTCCTTAGCATTTAGCCAATTATATGGTGCCGGCGGAGGGTACAAAAAAACTCCATTATATATTTCTTTACAGGCCAATATTATCGGAAAAAACCCAAACAAACAAACAAAATGAGTTCTGTTGCGCTGTGTGATCCATGAGTGTTCTCATCGCGGTTAGGGCTTGCTGTTGTTTGCGGTATTATTTTCCGGAGTGGACATACCATTACTACATTTTTGTTAGCGTTTAAAAATCGGAAACACATGGTTTTGGTAAAAAAATTCATCTTTTTCAACACTTAACGACTGTCGAGTTGTGTGTATCAATAGAGTGGGTCAGCAAATTTGCATTCTATGTTGCGCAAGGGGCAAGAGAAAATGGTTGACTCCCCGCGAGTGAAGCTGACGCTCTAGGTCGATGTCGATCCATTATTATCCTTTGTAAACAAAATTTCGATCATGGAGTTAAATTATAAAATTACTTTGGCTTACATTGTGCGCTTTAAAGTAAACTTGAGTTGTTAGATCCACGCGAGGGTTTAACCTTGAAAAATGCAATCACGCGAGTGGAGCTGACATTAACGCGTGTCCCTATCTGGAAAACATTCGTATTGTGACAAGAAGGGTCTGCTTAAGGTTTTGGGTTACTCTCGCCATGTAATTTGGACGCCGAAAAGTGCCAAAAAAGTAATTACTGAAAATTCATCCGCAACACCTCGGTCGTTCTGTGGGCGCGAAGTCAGTTCTTCTCTTACAGTTAATAATTGCCAGGCGGATCTCAGATCCGCCTCAGCCTCATTTGCATAAATTCTTTTGGTGAGCAAAGCTCGTCATGCTGAGATGCATCCCTCAATCCTGAAAATTTTTCCTTCCCAACAGCTGATTGTTTTTCGTTGCTTGCCAGTATCCTTATCCTCATTTCAGATGGTTTGCTTTATATTTTTTAATAACTTAGTTTATTGTTTATGTTTGCTAGCCTCTACTTTATAGACTTGCATTGCCTTTGCACAGACAATCATTTAAATTTCCATTTTGATCTTACATAGCGAATCAATTACAGACAACAAAGGACTTTTTCTGTCAGATTTTCATCCAATTCAAGAAGTTGACCTAGGAGACGTCCTTGAACTTTTTTTAATTCTTTGAGTTGTTTAAAAAACAGAAATCTCTGTGTAGCTCGTAAAAGTCATTCAAATGTACTTAACTGTCAACAGCTTGATCTTTTTAAGTAGAGCCTCTTACAAGCAGGTCTGGAAACTCCTTGCAGTGTTTGAAATCGTTATATAAGATGTTCTTCAAACAAAGCGGAGGTTTTGCTCTACAAAAGGGCAAACAAAATATGACAAATGTGTAGAAATTCACGAGTTATTTTCTCGTTGTGTTAAATGGAGCGTTCCTTCTAGGAAAACCATCCATGCTTGTACGCATGCGCAAGGCTAGAAGAAAGCTGCATATTGTGAATAAATATCGTTTAAACGACTTACTTACAAGTTCCCTTCATTTAAAGGAAATGCTTTTACTTAGTTTGAAGTGATTTTTTACGATAAAAAAACGAGCGTCGAAACATTAAGAGTGGAATTAACATTTTCTCTGACGCGTGTTAAACGGTGCATGAATTCTTAGAAACTCGTATGCTTCAGCGCTTTCTTCCAAAGTTAAAGCTTTTTTTTTAGATTTGTATTTTCTCGCGATATTTCATCAGAATTCTGTTTAACAAATTGGAGATGAGTAATGTGATATCATGGTGCAGTAGAAGTTAAA